TTTAATTCTTCATTTTTGCCTCCCTGCCGGGGAGGGGGCAGCCACAGCTTCTCTGGGCAACCTGGGCCAGGGCCTCACCACCCTCATGGGGAAGAATTTCTTCCTAATATCTCATCTCAGTCTGCCCTCTGTTAGTTTAGAGCCGTTCCCCCTTGTCCTATCACTGCACACACTGTGAAAAGCCCCTCTCCATCCTTCCTGTAGCCCCTCCAGGCACTGGCAGCTGCTCTAAGGGCACCCCAGAGCCTTCTCTTCTCCAGGCTGAACAGTCCCAGCTCCCTTAGCCTGTCCTCGTAGGAGAGGTGCTCCAGCCCTCGGATCATCTTCGTGGCCTCCTCTGGCCCCGCTCCAACACATCCATGTCCTTCTTGTGTTGGGGGGCTCCAGAGCTGGACACAGGACTCCAGGTGGGGTCTCAGGAGAGCAGAGTAAAGGGGCAGAATCCCCTCCCTCGCCCTGCTGGCCACGCTGCTCTTGATGCAGCCCGGGATACAGTTGGCTTTCTGGGCTGCAAAGTCAGTAGCCATATCTGAGGTGGTTTTTGTGCCATCTGTAAGTACCCAATGCTTCCTTCAAAAGGGAAACCCTTCCCAATGGAATTAATCCCAAGCATCATCTCGTTCCTGCAGCGTGTGGCACTAAATACGCAGCCAGTCTCTCACACGTACCCATGAATGGGCTGCGCAAGCAAATGGGGCTTATGGAAACAGCATGAGAGCAAAGGTGAGGTCTAACCACTGCGTTGCCGTGTAAAAGCAAAAACGTTGGCATGGGGTCAGGCCTCACGTTCATATGGCGTTTGATGGGACCACTGAGGCTATAAAAATGGTTCCTGGTCAACAGAGTGGCTATCAAAGAGGTAAACGAAAAACAATCCTCGTGCAAAACACAAGGATCGCTGCATCTAAGTATCAATACGTCTGTCCGCAACACAAATAATTCATATTTCAAATACAACAATGAAAGAAAGATACAGCAGTATGATCTAAACATATTTCTCAACCAAGAGAAACGCTGTGGCAAATATGGTCTTCCGGACCATTTCAGTTAAACCACTGCAGTCAGGTTCGCTGAAAAGCAGAAATAATGACAGTCTGCGAAACCCAAAATGGGATTTGGTTCATCCAGCGTGTTCTAACAACCAGAAAACTGCACAAGGAAGATAATCCCTTCTTTCATGTATTACTCTGTTTAATGAGACAGGATTAGTTCTCATTGAACGCAAATTTAGTTAATCTAAGTGTAAATTAAATTTCTCTCCATTTCCTTTACCTGCAGCCTCTGAAAAGACTGCTCTTCCAGCAATAATGTTCTGCATTGTGCAGAAATCAAGAAGGAGTGACTCCAAGGACTGAACCTTAGCAGCACGTCCAACTACTCCCAGAAGCCTGGAGCGCGATTGCTACATTTGGGTAATAACAGCACATTGTATTACTGTCATGAGATCAGTTCTGTGGATAGAATTTAACTGTGTTCTATGAACACATTGGAATAAAGAGCATTTTCCACAGAATTCATTCTCAGTTTAGACATCCTTAGAGGCTGATCATGTTCAGTTTAACCTGCCAGAATTTCCTTTGCTTGCAGAATCAGGCCCATCAAAATAATTGACAATATAAAACTTTTCTCGACTTTTATTTAAGAACTTTTTGCATATCCATGCAGCTTTCTAAAGGTGTATTTCAGTTAAGTCCTTGGCATCCAGCTACCTGTGCAAACCAAGACATGGAAGGTACCATGTCACATTTCGTCCTTCCCAAAAAGAAAAAATATTTTAAATGAGTTTATTTATAATTTTTTCCAAATATTTTCAAATATTGGTTGATTTCTTTATTCTTCCTTAATAGTATCTAAATACACCCAGACAGCTGTAATGCTGACAAATCTTAGATATGCAGAAGTACTTTGGCCCCTAAATGTGCCCAATCTGCAACTTTCTAGAAGCCCTCAATGTAAATGAAGCTGTTACTTGCTGTAGTAAATTCTGGTAATGTCCACCTGCCATCATTAGGTGCCTAAGCCCTTTTGTAAATCTTGCTTTTAGTGAGTAACAAACATATGGAAATTTCCTCCATTAAATCAAATTTACTTGATCTATATTGTTCTGTCATGTGAGGATTTCCTTAATTTCTGTCTACTTATTTTCGTTCAACTTCTTTCCCAAACTTATTTTCCTCTGTGCACTTCTTTGCATCCCAGTAGATGATCTCCTGCACCCCTGCTCAGGCTCAAGCGGTTCCTGTTTTGTGACTTTATTTTTTGCTTAACTAGTCACAGCACAATAGGATTACTGACCTACTCTTGCAAAATTTTGCAACACCAATCTGCCAGGACTTCCAGTGAAGTACCTCATTCAAGAAAGCTTTGTGATGAGGATTAGTCACATTAGTGTTTAACTGCAGCTAATCAAAGTACTGAAACACCATTCCAGAAAGCACAGACCGGGTCATTTTACTTGCGTATCTGCCTGTTTTGCTTTTTCCAGTCTTTTCAGTAGGCTTGGTGTTTAAATGTGGTGCCGGCACACGGCCAGAAGCCCAGTTCAGCCTGCAGTCTGATTTACTATATACAGTTGATTTTCCATGTTACTGCCTGATGCACTTCCTTGTATAATATCCTAAATAACTCAAAATAATTAATTATGTACACTTTATAAATTGACTGCATACGTTTACAAATTAAAGGAGCCCCAGTACAGCTCTTGCTCTGCTTGTTGTCGTGTTCATAGCTGTTAGAGGTAAATTATACTGCTCGAAAACTTTGCCCTCTTTATGAGACGCCCAACCATTTTAAACCAGTGGCTGAGGCTGCCTGTCCTGGGACAGGAAGCAGAGCAGAAGGGACAAACTTTTCAGCGACACTTACCGTGTAAGAACACGTACATGTGTTCAGCTGCGCACCTGGAAGGCACCTTCATTTCTACAGCCATTTGAAAGAGACTGCGCGTGACCTCAGCTCTGGAGTGGCCTTCTCAGGCAGTTTACTCCCTTCTCATTGCAAGGTGATTTCAGACCCTTAGAAGTTCCCCGCGTTCAGGTTTAGATCATGGACTTTTGACAGTAGTGGTAGCAGAGGAATTGATTGTTTGGAGTGAGGTGGGGGTTGATTGGTTTAGAAAACCCAATCCACCGCAGTAGAGATTACACCCACCTTTTACCAGCTGAGGTTTTGATGGATAGCGTATGATTTGTTGCAACAATATTGGCAAAACATGCAAAGGTGACAAAAATTATGACAAAGGAGGACAAAAACAATCAGAAACTAGCGTAGCCTCTTCCCCTCACTTCCACTTCCCAGTCCCCACCCTCTCCATTACATGATCCACACAACAATATCTGTGAGAAGTTGCAGCAGTGCACAGTTAGTATTGTTATCCTTTATTGTATGAATTACACCATGCGTGCATGCTCAGAATAATAAAACCAGGTTTTCACATCACAAAGGGCAGGTACTTCCCCCGTCTAGCAGAAAGCTGTAATTGTGATACGCTGATCAGATGAGGGATCATGTCCCAAAGATGATGTGAAAGCCGATTAAGCAGCAATACCAGATTCAATTCCTAACAGACTAGCTCATTAAGGGAGAGCAAACAGTATTAGGGTACGTCTTAGAAGGAGTTTTCTGGGATTCAACTCATTACAGAAGTAACGGCTGTAGCAACAAGGGCCTGATACCCACCTGCGAACACTGCAGATCAATCAGTTCACAAAAGAGCTGACAAAACCAGGCAGTGGCAGGAAACTACACCCCACCAGAGGCATTTGGCAGACATCAAACGAGTCTTTGGAATAATTAATTATCTGGTAGGAGAAAACAGGGTCGCAAAACAATGCTGGGCTTCGGTGACAGTTCAAGGACTGCGTATATAAAAAGGTATGCAATTCTAGGCATACCTTACAGAGGACTTCTGGGAAAATGATGAATCCGAAATAGCAATCCCAAATTGCTGAAATGGGTTTGGTTTGAATCTTTTCAAGAGCGCTCCGGTTTGGCGGAGAGGACAAAGCAGGAATTATCCCTTCTGTTCCCGTGGGGACATCTAAAATGCTGCACCACTGCGCTACCATGTTGGTATGCAAGGCAGAGCCAGAAAGCATCTTCCCTGGAGCAGGCAACGCTGGGCTTTCCAAGGTCACTTTCTCTATCATGAAGTCGGTAGTTTTAACCTCCTCCTGCCTGCGGCCTGTCTATGGTTTTTCAAAGATTTTGTTACCTCTTTACATATTTATAGCTCAGAAGCCTATGAACAGTTGTATCAAGCAACTTATTTTTAAATAAAATCCTGGTTTATTAGAATTCAAATTACACAAGCGAGTTAAAGAGATTTTAGTTGGATTTTTTTTTTTTAAGGACAGACTGCACCGCTTTAAACCACCGCAACAGAATACGAAGCAACAATTTTCTTGCGTCATGCCCCTGCTGCTCCTCTTCAGGCAAGAAAGGCACAAAGTTTCAAGGAAAAAATTATTAACAGAAGCAGCAAATCAAGCCGTTGCTTTTAGTAAGCTAAGTAAATTTTGCAAATAGAATAACTCCTTTAGTTCATCTACAGATTTGACATGAAAAAAAAAAATCTATGTTCTTCATAGTTTAACCATGATGCTTAACGTTGCCACAATGCAATTCGTAGGTTTTTAGCAAGGTCAAGCATAGCTACAGCTTTTAAGGTGAAATCCTGACGTATTGCACCAGCAGTTAGCGAGATTAAGATGCTAAGATACATTTACCTTCCAAAACTAGATTTATTGATAAGTTATTTAACCTAAACGCTAATCACACCAGATAGCTTACAGATGAAAAGTAGTTCTAGTAAAGAAAATAAAGAACTTCGGTTTTCAAACATTTTAAATTAAGAAATGTGCTAGCTGCCATTCCAGTGGCAAAGGAGACCCTCTCCTGTAAGTAATAAGGGGTTTTACTTAGCTAAAATGTGCAAAGGAAAAAGTCTCAAAGTGAGAGAAATATCACCAGTTCATATTGGCCACAAGGGAATAAAATCCTTAGGAGTGAATGCCTTTAATCCGTTTTCTTGTCCGAAACCTCTGTGGATGTCTTTGTGGCGATTCCGTTTGCAACGCCATCGCTTTCAAACTGCAAAATAAAGGGCAGCGTCATTAACGGGGTGTCCGAAAACGACTCCTCACCCAGAACAGCAACAGCCAGTGATGAAAACGGCTTTTAGAAGCCAGGCTGGTGAAGATCGATAAAGCCATCTGCAGCGAGAACCAAAGGGGTAGTGTCTCTTTAGATTTACACGTAATTATTACGCAGCAGGGAGGAAATAAGAGCAAGAGACGGCGCACACAAAGCTTTGCATTTTGTTAGGAGAGATAAATAATAACATTTTCCCCCATTATGAGTGGCAGCGCTAGCTGAAGAGTGTGGGTTTTTTTAATTCTGCTTCATGCATTTGGTGTGGTGTAGCAAATTATTTGGCTTCTTCCTTCTCTGAAAGAATACCCAGTCATTAAAAAAATAAAGAAATAAAATTAACTTAAGGTGTTTCAGAAAACAGGTGCAATTCCTATCCTTCCAAGACCTACCAGAAGCTGTCTTGGAGTAACTTCTGCTTCCAGCTGGCTCAGTCCTGGTCACTCCCTTTCATTCATAAGAAAACAGCCACGGAAACTTCCATAAAAACACCCAACTCTCTACTTTTTTGTGGTGCCCACCCTGAACTATTGCTGGGTGCTTTATCCGGCATTTCCCCAGTTAGCTAAATGCATTAATCTTACTTTATAGGTTCCAGACTCATCCTCCTGATCTCTTTTCGTGGCAGAAGGTGCCCGTGGATTTCCAGCGCTGCCTCCTTGACCTTGTTTTGCGGCTGTCGGTTCTTGCACAGCTTTCTTGGGCCATACACGCTTGATGAAGGGCGCAATAGCGGGATAGACGTAGGGTTCGAGGAACTTCTTGTAGACCCAGAGGAGAACAGGAATGACAATGCAAGGAATGCACACCATGGCTTCCTCTTGTTCTGTGACAAAGCTGGTGAGGGGGGGAGAAAAAAACCCCAACAACTTAAGATGACGGTGTTTCTATGCCTCGAGCTAAGAAAACAGTTTTAAATAATGAATAAAGATTGTAGCTGATATTCAAACATGAAAGATAATAGATTAACCGTCCGAGTTTCAAAAATGCTGTACGTTCCAACCTTATAAAGCCCTCAACAAGGGAAATGTTCTTGACAGTTTAACAGGAAAGGAGTAGAGTCTGCTATTAGTTCCTCAGTCCTACAGCTGGAACTTAGAAAAAACTTAGAAAAAACACATTCAGAAAAGTTTTTGTTTAAACCATCCCAAAAAAAGTTTAAGTGGCGAGCTGCAGGTATTAGCCCAGTTTTTACTGTATTGCAACAGAAGGTCCCAAAGGTTTGTTTTTCTCATTCCCTTTTTATTTAAGGTGAAATTAAATGGCAGGGCACTAATGCATCTATTGCTGAAGGGCAGGTCAGCGAGAGGAAGGAAGAAAATCCGAGTCGGGATTTGAGAAGAGGAGAATATGGGTTACTTCCCTCCTCTGACGCAGGTTCTGGAATCGCTCGATCCCACCAAACCGTTACAAAGTGAATCCTTCCCCCTCTCCCCACCCCGGGAAGGATTCTTCAGGAACGGCAGCCTGAACTCCGTGACGAAAGCAGCAGAAAACCAAAGCGCCGGGGCAGAAAGGTGCGACCAGGAGAGGACGCAGGACAAGAGCTGCTGTCCCTTTTGGTGCTGACGAGTGATGTTATCAGACACGCTCTGCTGCGCAGCGCAGCTCTGCCCTTCGCATTCCTCCCTTCTAGGCTCAATTCTTCCCTCACAAAGCAAAACGAAAGCTTTCCGAGACGGAGAACGAAGAGGCAGATGGGACCAGAGTTTCACTTTTTAAGCTATCCTAAAGATCTGTACCCCATGCCCTGTGGCAGAACAAACACCGATTTCCAGCTGATGACTCCCAAGTGCAGTTTTGGCTACTTCAGATGTAATTTCCCAGGATCTGCCATCTCCGAAATCAGACAGGAACCTTAAATTGAGATAATGTGACTGAGGCGACCCATTAAACCCCCTCAAAAGGACAATTCATGTACTCTCTCCGCCAGAACTTCCTCACTCCTGAACTTCCAGGGGCTTTGGGCCCTGCCTGTGCAGGCAGCCTCCTGGCCTCCAGACTCCGCACCAAAACACCGCCAAAGCTGCGCAAGGCAGCTTAAATATTCTCCACCCGTTTCTTCTGTGACTTGACGATGCTCTGTCGCCCGGTTCGCAGGGAATGAATTTTTAGGAAGACAAAAAATAAGGGGAAATGGTCCGTTTTAAATGGCGAGCTCCTGTCTTTGTGAGCCGCCGCGCATCAGGGTCAGCGGGGAGAACGCGACACGGCACGCTGAAGTGCGTGAGCTCAGCTGGCTCGCTCGTTACTCAACCGTTACGGGGGAAACCGGGGAAAGAAGGCCACGCCGACAACAGGGCGCCTTTTTCCCCTCACAGAGGACGCTT